AAGAGAATTGGATCCTCTCCTGAGCCCAATGAGAGATCCTTCCTTCTTATCAAGGATTTTGGATTGTTGAATTTTCATTCAACGGTTATAATTATTATAACTTTAAAGGAACTTCCTATTTGTAGCTATTGGATAAAAATTTAATGGTTCAAGATCTTTGGTCAGGAGGATCTTCTCCTTGGGCTCAGGAGATGATCCGATTCCGTGTACAAGGATGTGAAGTGTTTTGCCTCGTATCGAAAAGTTAAAAGGATTATGATTCTCTCTCATCCTTTTTCTATTCTCTTTCATTCCCTTCTCTTATATTTTTTATTTTATTTTTCTCTTTTTACAAAAAAATTAATATAAGATGTTGACGTGGCTTAACCATGACTGTTTAAATAAGAGAAGAAGAAAGAAGATGAAAAAAAAGAAAGAAGAGAATCATTCTCCACGTTAAAGATGTCGGTGTAAGCTTATTTGAAGATTCTTATCTTGGAATATATATGCGTACGCTGATTCATACAATATTCCATCGTCCTTATATTTAAGGGGCTAACCTTTTACTGGCCAGCTGCTTACCTTTTTTGGTTGGTGGCACCTCACGTTGGAAAAGGACGAACAAAGAACACCAACGGAAAAGTAATGAGGATTCAATTGAGATAGGCAGGCATTTGGCATGGTAAAAGCCACAAGATATATCTAGTCTTTATATATTAACTAAGATATATGAGTCGACCTCGAGGCAGCAACATAAAAATAAATTTTTTTTTAGATATAAGCCCATACAATCTTTATTTTATTGACAAAAACTTATCTCATTTTAAATATCCAAATAAAACCCAAATTTGAAATAGAATGTCATGTAAACAAATAAATAAATATTATTTTCAAACTATTTACAATTGTGCCACAACACTAATTATGTTAATGAATTTAATTATCTAGCATAATTGTGGGAAATAAGTGCCTTATTATTATAAAATTATCTGAAAATATGAGTACACCCCTTGGAATTCAATTTTCTTTAACTAAAACCTATCATGGTAAATTTCTCTAATAAAAACCCAATGACTAGGCTCCAACTAAGCAATATCCATAATTAAGTTTGACTTGGCAAAATTTGTATTTTTGGATGTCTAAATTACCCCTAATAACACTTACTTTGGGTTTCTCACTTATTATCTACATTTATTTTACATTATTTCATTCAATTCAATTAGTATATCCTACAAATAAAAAAAATTATTTTATTCAAAATTATCAATATTTTAAATATAACATAGGGTTTTTTTAGATATAAGCCCATACAACCTTTATTTTATTGACAAAAACTCATCTCATTTTAAATATCCAAATAAAACCCAAATTTGAAGTAGATTGCCATGTAAACAAATAAATACATATCATTTTCAAACTATTTACAATTGTGCCACAAGACTCTAATTATGTTAATGAATTTAATTATCCACCATAATTGTGAAAAATAAATGCCTTATTATTATAAAATTATCTACTTTATACTTCTCTTACCACTCAATATATTTATAAGATATATTTAATTTGGTCAACTTTTTTAGCGTGAAAATTATGTACTATTGGAGTTGTTTATGCATACTTTTAAGCTAATGATTTTGTTTTCTTACTGTAGTTTAGGATTAAGGTTTGATTAGCAATGGTTGGAAATTAAGCTAGCCAGCTCAGTATAATACATTACAGACAAACAGAAGAGTCACCGGCACTGCAGCTCGGCCTCACCCACTCACTCATCCATTAGTAATCATGCAACTTTGTAAGTGTAGTCGCAGTTGTGGGAGAGTCAGCTCGCATTGACTTTTTGACTTTTTCCATGGAAGGGAGGAGGACTCCCCATTAATTTTATTGCCACTCATTTCTCACGACGCAAGAACTCATTACATGGAGGGAGTGTATCCTTTTTTTTTCTAAACTAGGGAGTGTATCCTTTTGCTCTAAATGAATGGCGGTGCGAGCACTCCTATTGTTTTTGTTACCCTACTAGCTACTAGCTACTCGTTAATTTGTGGTTTTGTTCTGAATACACGTAAAAAAATTTCTTATATTAAAATGACTGATGGTGACGATGGCTATTATAGTTTTTGTTATCCTACAAACTACTGGCCACTCGTTAATTTATGGTTCTGTTTTGAGTACACGTAAAATTTTTGCATTTTAAAATGATTGGTGGTGGCAACGGCTCCTACTGTTTTTGTTATCCTGTTGGCTATTAGCTACACGTTAATTTGTGGTTCGGTTCTAAGTACATGTAAAAAAAAATTCCTATTCTAAAATTACTGGCAGTGCTCTTTCTCTTAATGTTTTTGTTATCATATTGGCTATTGACTACTGCTAACTCGCGGTTCTGTTCTGAATGCACAAAAAATTTGAATAATACTTGATTACTCAAAGTATGAGTAGGAGCTTCTACTAAATTTCTTCGTATTCAATTCACAGAATTTCGTGTTTATGATCAGAATCGTTCATATTATAAAGCACTTTATAAAAGTCATGTATGCAAAAAATCAATTAAAACTAAAATTGTTTAGTCATCAAATTGTATAAGAACAGATGGACAATAACGATAAAAATATTACAAACCGTCTATCTATTACTACAGTTTGATTGACATACTTACCTTAGTTTTAATTCCTTTATTTTATTTTATAGAAAAGTCCTTTACAAAGTGATTTAGAATAGGATTGACTTTGACTGGCGGTGCTCCTCCTCGTATAGTGTTTATATTAGGAAAATGATTATCTCTGAATCCATTTTGTGGGGATCTTAAATATTCTCACATTTTAGTCATTAATCATATATCGTAAGGTTAGTTTTCGTCAGATATTATTTGTGTTTAATTTTAAATAAAAAAAAGTTACATAATTTCTAACCGCACTATACAAAATGAATGAATAAAATATAAGAATTTCTAGAATTCCCAAAAACTGAATCCGGACGGAATCCAATTTCGCTATCTTAATGGGTACTGCCTATTCGCTACTTGGCTACTGGCCACTTCTCCTCCTCTTGTTTGCTGTCGACAGAGATTAATTAATTAATTAAAATGACTGGACAACATTGTTTTCGACGGACATGTTTCACAATTTTAACAGTGAAATTTTCAATTCCATTCCTTCCAACCCCCGAGTTGTCTCTATCTCCAACAATATTGTTCTTTGTTCTTATACCACTTAATTTATTATTAAAAAATCTACAGATATTATTTCTTCTCATCCTATTTTTAATTTTTATACAAAAATATATATAGCTACACTTTTAGTGTAGAACTAGATTAGTTTTGAGCCCACTTTTAGTTAGAATCGAATTTTAAAATTTTACGTATACGTGAAGAATAACACTAAATTGTATTATTAAGTGGCTTATTTTTTGTCCATTAATATAATGAAAATGATAAAAGACAATAACATTGATTATGTAATTTTTTTTTTTTAATAAACGATAATATTAACATTAAGAAGGTGAGAAAGTGGTTAAATATCGTAATGAGCTAGAAATAACGTGGATCAAAACCTTTAGCAAGAAATGAAGGTAAGAGCTCACATACAAGTCAAATATGCAAGTGTCGTTGCTTATTCGTAAAACAAAAAAGAAAATTGAAATTTACATGCACTAGATGATAAAAAAAATCATAATTAGCCTTGTCTGAAGATTGAAAAACAAAAACATCTTTTGACTTTGGGGCGGGGTAACACAGACGTGAAATTAATAGTGTTTGAAAGGGAGCTCTCATAAGCATGGGAGGAAAGAAAAAAAGGAAACCCCTAAAACGAAACGCACTGAAGAATTCAAAGGGCACGTCACTATCCAGTGAATCCAGCAACCAAAAACTAAAAAGAAGAAAAATACTAAAACAAGCAGCAAAACCCCAATCCGACTGTGGTCTCCTATAACTTTCACTTTCCATAAATTTATGGACCACAAACGCGCGCGCTCGCGCACACACGGAAAATTTAACCATTAGACAACTGTGTATCTCTCGCTATCGTGATTGCCTAACCGAGCACAAGAAGCCTCGACCAAAAGCTATGGACTAGCCTCTAAACACTAGCTTAGGATTTGGATCCTCTCCGAGGTAACTAGTTGGGATCCTCTGTTAGTGGACCGTTGGATTTTTCCAACGGCTACAAACAGGAGGCTAAAAGTTATAATAATTGTAGCCGTTGGATTTCTACTAACACTGGTCAGAAGGATTCCGACCAGTTGCCTCGGAGAGGATCCAAATCCACTAGCTTGCCCAATAATTGGCGATAAGAGAACCATCTATTTTGAGAATTTGTGAGGACCGAATGCATATTAACTACAAGATTATATTAGTTTATATCAAAAGATTTGAAATATTTGTTAATAATGCAAAACCAACCTAAAACCCATGAACGATTAGAAAACTCATTTTCTTGTTTTGCATTGTTAAATTGTCAAATATTCTAAGTTTTTGAATTTAAAATTAATATAATCTTGTGAATAATACCAATTTGATCCTCACAGATTCTGACGACGACTTTAGGAGAGCAAGAGTGACCTTTTGGGTATTAAGGCAATAAGTTTGAAAGCTTCTACATTTTCCGAATGATTTATAACATAGTGACATACCACATTAACTCATCGCCGACATTATAATAACATCGCTGATAAAATAGTACCTGACCCGGGCCGGGGCGCGCCATTCCTGGGATCTTGTGCTCGAGCGCTGAATGATGCGTCAACTCAGCTCCGGTCCCATCCCTGGTCTCTTTTGCACTGATCACTAAAGACCTTGGAATACCTGCCAACACATTCGGATAATCCAAAATCCTCCCAACACGTGGCCTATGGCGACACGGGTGGGCATCCAACGAGAGGCCCGCCCGCGGGCTATTAGCTCAATACCGAGCACTCCCCTAACAATTGCGTCGTTACCACTGAGCTGTAAGGGCTCTCAACCACAAGGATAGTTCAATGTGCTCATCAGCACTTAAGTACGATAACTAATAATATGCGGACCAGGCTAGGTAAAAGAACTTAAAAACCAATAGATCAAGTACATCATTGTAACTGCCAGAATGTCTCAAGTAACTCCGTTCATAAAACTACTCACTCCGTAATCACTAACTAGCAGTACAATTACACACCAACTGGTAATACATATAAAGAGAACACGCTTCCGCGGGGAATTAAGTAAAGCTCATGATTGTACACAAACGCAACAAAAAGGAAAAGACCATCCTTTGGAAATGCTGCAGTTCTAACATGGTCGAAGAAGTGGCCTTCAGAAACCGAACCAAGTTTAAATTGTGGTTAACTCCACTTTATCACATGATGATGCATCGGCTCCTTTCTTCTTGTGGTTGAGCTGAAACTTGACTCTGTGACTCTGATGGGTTGTATGTAAACTCAGCTGTATTAAGCCCATACTGATTTACGTGCAAGTCACCAGACAAAACAGAGCACAGGCATCAGAATCATAGGCTATAGAAGACATTGTAGCAAAAAATAGACTCAATTTTATGTTTTCGATAGGAAAAATAAAATGACAAACGGAATTTGCCTAATCACCAAAATGTGGTAACCTGATAGTACTGGAACAATCAGCAAAAAGTCTAAAGCGCGCACACTAACACGCTGGTCTTACTTTGAGACTTCAATAGCTATATTTCTATACTACCATCTCATACAAACTTTAAGGAAATTTTTTTGCCGGAATCTCTCACCTTTTCCCTCATGCGTGTACTCCACGCATCATTTCTGTTTGGTGGTCGCTGATCAAGAGCCCCAGCAACAGGTGCACCAGTTGCTGGAACAGCTTGCCTGTTGGCAATCAATGGCTGCCTGATTTGTTGCCTTGGAGCAATGAGCTCATCATCACTGTCATATTCTGCTGGTCTGTTTGCTGCCCTAACCACTAGAGCGAGCAAGAAAAGTAGAGCCTGAAATTCCATGGAGAATCGTTATATACGCAACATATCGGCACAAGAAAAAACCCAAAAAACCTTTAACTGGTGATATCCAAACCACTAAAACTAGATTCAAGAATCACAACACAAGAACACTCATCTTAGCAGTGCTTTTGTGCAGCAGCTAAACACAGAATGCACAAAACCCTTATCCAGATAAGGAGGGAGATGTTAACCAATATCTGGCAAAGCAGTAGAGGTTCATGAGAAAATTTTAACAACATCAAGGAGCTTGCTGTCATTTTCCTTGTCTCTGGAACCAACATTAATATCACATTTCAATGGTTTTGTTCTTCGACTCTCATTCAAACATTTCTCTCAATCAATGTATTAAAAGGCGAAGGTGTAGGTGACGTGTTCTACGGATAGCTCCGCCTAGGTGAAAACCTTGAGGCCTCACGAGACTTAAGATTTTTAGTATAAACTATATATAATTACGTATATTATAATATTTTGGTGGAATACTGAAAGAGTCTTACAAGAAAAAACAAGAATAAATTTTTAAGAAGAAAAAAAATATAGCATTACACAAAAACAAAAACAAATAATTACTGATTTTTCTTGCTGGCCACTTACTTATTAAGGAATATTATTTTTATAAAATAATATTAAACTTTATAGATATGTTGGGAGAATATGCTTTGAGATGGTGGAAGTTGGAAGTTGGAAATTGGGATGCTGGACAACTGGAAGTCACTTTAAAGAGAAATAGAATCAGCCAAAAAAATAATATTAAAAAAAACAAAAAGTAAGCAAATGAAAGCATGGCAGACTACGCGGTGCTATTCATATTCTTCAAGCAGCATTGGTGCGTCTGCAACTTCCATATTCAAGCGAAATTATCCAGATTCCAAAAGCTCTTACACAAAAAAGACGCCCAATTGAACTCCGCGCCTCGGCCACGTCTAAGCGAGTTTTTGCCTTCTCCCACTGGGCAGAGGCGATTTCACCGACGCCCCGCCTCAAAAGCTGCCTAGGCGCGCCTTGGGGTGCGTTTTTTAAAACACAACTCAATGTTTTTTTTTTTTTTTTTTTTTTTTTTTTTTTTTTTTGGTAAGAAACATAATTTCATTGCAGAAAAGAAGAATGTTAAGAAGCAGCGACAAGATCTCCACAATTTTTCTAGAGCACTGATCCATAAAGAAAGTTTCTTCAATATCATTGTCAAGTAGGAATAATGCCAATGCCATTATAAAAAGGGACAGACTTTCACGCATGAACCAGTCAAAACTCCTTTTCATAGTGAAAAACACTTGAAACCCCATTTTGAAGAGGGAAATCCCCCCTGAAATCAACTGTTATTGCGCTTGACTATTTTGCAAGTGACATTAACACTTATAGGTGAGGGAGTTTCTTTTTCTTCCTATTTTCTTTTTTATTCTTAACTATTTACTCTTGGGCTTTTTGATAACTATTTCGTTTTCAATTTCTGCTTTCACTTTTATGAAATCTGAAAACTCATTCGATAACTACTTTTAGTTTTCAAAAAAAAAAACTAAAAACTGAAAACTGATAGCCAAAAAGTGAAACTCAAACATATAAGACACAATACGAGCTAAGATCCAAAGCATAGAACTTTTCTTCTAATGCTACATGTTGATTAGGCCAAGCCAGAACCAACTAAATGGTGGCAAGCATTCAAATCTAGTCAATGAAAAACAGAGGTAAATTCTCTGCAGAAACTTCAGGTAAGATATTTTTTTTGCCTCTTAAGTATGCTTTTGCTTCCCTTTCAGTGTCTGCACTACTTGCTAAAACATGTCCACCCCCTTCTATTCATCTTATATCTTTCTATACGGGTACGAAGAGTTAGAAATATAATTCCAAATAAAATAAGGGGAAGGGAGGGAACTTCATCCAGAAACGAGACTGTCATGCCAAGCAATCTTCGTTTAAATGATTAAAGGATATAGCCATAAATTCACCCAAAAAAATATTTAATAAAAATCAGACAAAAAGATGTCAAAACAGAAGATGTCAGGACGAGATTCTGGAATTGTGAGAATTACCTCGAAGACAACAGCTCCAAGAGCAACCCATCTGACAATGGTCCAGTGAGCTTTCAGAAATGCATATATCATCTCAAAATCTCCACTTGAATCCGTTGGTATTTCCTAAAGAGTAACTTATGACACTGATTAGATAGCCAATCATACCATTACAATTTAAATTTCAAAACATTAGTTGATACAACACTTACATCTTCCCAGCTTTTGTCAAAGAATATAAAGGCGGCAGCTCCCAGCTCTACCAAGATCAAAAGGATCACCAGGACCGAATACTATGCTGACTTAAGGACCCCATTTTGTTAAATTTAAAACCAAAATAAAGAAAGCATAGGTGCATGCACATTCATGTTTTCGTATGACAGGCATACTATTATCACATAACAGATATGCTATGACACTATTATCGGATATACTTTTAGACAAGAAGAATTGAGTAATTAGGATACACAACTCAGGCAGCAGCCATTCCGTGTCATTGCACCCACGCAACCAAAACAAGAGATGATAAATATAATCGCTCCAATGCCAATAAACAAGTATATGAACCTGAAAAAGAATATGGTGTAAAAAATTGGAGGAAAAAAGAAAGAAGAAATAGCAGCTTGAACTCAACATGAAAAACAAACAATATGAGTGTAATCCTTAACGGGTCTTTATAATTAATATACATACATACATATATATATATATATATATATATATACAAATAAATTCATTAATATGGTATTATGGATTGATCTAGCATACGTAAGGCATAGGTTCCTTCAAGAAAAGTGTAAGCATAGGGAAAAAACGTAAAACAATGATTGTAAAAGATAAAATGGGAAACTCAGAAAAATAAAATGGAGAACTTAATGCAATAAAAGTCAGCTTAATCTTCACTGTGCATCAGCTAACTTAGTGATAAGAACATCGCTTCCAGAAATAGTTGGGGTTGGCACTGAATAGTTGATTAGATCTAGCCTTTTAGATCAATTAGATTTATCAAGTAGAATCATCAGAAGGTCCTAAAAATTTACTTCAATGCTCTAGAGATGCCAACCAGCAACCGATTACTATACTGATGGGACCTCAACCCTTCATTATACAACTTGAACTATTAAAGAATGCAAACCACATACAAAACAGAACACTGATGGTACAAGTTACCAGTAGACGAAAAGAGGGTAGAATTTTGTGGGGTTACTGCAGAATGACTGTCTTGTGGATAGTTTGTGGAAAGGATAGGAGGTTATTTACTATTGGCGAGTGGTGGTGGTGGAGTTTTGGGAGGGAGTGAGGTTCCTAACGTCATTTTGGTGATTGGTTTAAATAGAAATTAGGAAGCCATGTTGATCCAGAAATGCAGTAAGCCCTTGCAGAATGTCCAAGATTTTGTGTACATCTAAATTTTACTCAGACAAAAGCTAAGTTTCTAAATTAAACATTCATTTCACATCCAAACTCTTCTTTAGATAATAGGATAGCTAATTTAGTGTAAATTTCAGTTGTTTTAAAGGAGGAGAAAAAAAAAAAAAAAAAGGAAGGAAATGATTTCATTCCTAAGAATTTCGATCATTTTCTTTATCTTTCTATTTGTCTAAAATCACATAAGGGATACAACACCTGATGGAAAATAAAAATATTAATCAAATGCAAGAAGGTAAGTCTAACACAAGAATACTTGTTACTTCTTATCTGTTTACAGCCACATCAAATATCAAAATAAACAACAGATTTCCTCAATCAGAATAAAATAAATGTGTAACTAGCTATAACTCAAAAGTCAAAAAAACAATTTTAGTGAATTAGGTAGTAGACATACCAAGCTTTTGGCAAATTATCCAAGGTACTAGTTGAAAGAGACACAGTCATGAGCAAAGGTCGGCTCAACTGTACCAAATCATGATCGTCGCCTACAGCTGAAGACATAACGGTTGAGTCTGAAGCTCTCAAGTATTCGACCAGCAAGTAGATCCCATAGCCCACCATGGCCAGCCCCACAAGGGTCAAAACAAAGTTCAACAGCTTCAACAGGCACTCCAAGCACCCCCTGCAGGCCATCCTCGACAACTTCTTCGACCCCTTCAATTTCCAAATTCAAATCAAATGGGTCTCTTCTATTTTATCACTTAGCCGACTACCTTCGACAAAAGACCCACATTTGGCCCGAAGATCAGTAACTCAATCACACAGTTCTGATTACTAACTACCACAAGTTCGCAATTAATTCCATAATTCACACATCGAGTTGTGTTTGGTTGCTTGGAAAGTGTAGAAAAACTACACACATAAACCATCTCTCCAACATTATGCATTTTCTAAGATCAGGGTAATAAATCAACTTAAATTATTTTAAAAAAATAGAAAACCAAAACTATATATGCAATTCAGCTCAAGCTCATCAAAAAATTCCAGTCTTTCCTAGATACGTAATCACCTCAATTTCCCAACCTATTCAACTATCTAATTTTTTCAAAAACTGAAATTTTAACCCATCCAGACTAGCAAAATATCAGATTTAATACGAATAAAAAAAACAAAAAAAACCAAAAGAATAGTTTCATGATGGTTTGGAAATCTTAAAGAGATCAAAATATGAGCGGAAATCGAAAGACTTACAGATTTAGAAGTCACTAGTACGAGGAGCTTGTCGGGTTTCGAGCTTCTTCGGATTCTGATATCAGCCACAGAGGAAGAGGAAGAGGAACAGAGACGATCTCAGCCAAAGGAGGAAGGGCGGTGAGGTTGTTGGTTTTTTTATTGTTTTTTTTTTCTAAATGCCAGCTGGCGTTTTTTTATTTGTACCCCACACCTCCCCATTTGTGCTGTGTCACCGTTTTGTTTTCTATTTGCTGAATGACGTTAATGAACTTATCCATTTTCCGTTGGGACGTTTCTGTGTGCAGTTGCGATAAGCTAAGTGATAATATGGTCAAATCACATATTAATAGGATTTTAAAACAGAATATTTTTTTTTTATTGTGAGAAAATGGAATTTAAAAACCCAGGAAAGTTTGAACAGAAAGGAAATGATAAATACAAATCACGATCGTCAACCACTATGGCCTCCTCGTGGAGAAATTTTTTATTGTGATCGGAATGCAAATGATATATTACATGTTTTTATATAAGTGATGAAATTTTTTATTTTTTAAGTTATTAACTTTTTAACATACATGTCCCACTATTTATATAATAACATATAGTGTATCATCTTGTATTTCGGTTAGATTGAAAAATCTCTCCTACTAGTGAGGGTGCCACAATCTTTGCCACGTAACATTTTTCTGACCATGTAATTTGAAAAAAAAAAAAAACCTATTAAAAATTTATCTTATTTCATTTAATAAAATGTGGACATGTGGTACAATTATAATTACTTACTAGATATGGGCACATACAAAATGTGCAAGATTTTTTTTTTTTTTTTTTTTTGAAATAGAAGGAGAGAGGGAGAGAGTGATAGAGAATGTGGGAGTGGGAAGTTATTTTTATTTTTTATTTTTTTAATTAGAGATATGTTAGTATTACATGTAGATGAGACTTTGTGTCACATCCCATACCAGATGTGACACTTTGAAAAAAACAGCAAAATTTGGTTGTGTGAAATTACATTTCTACCCCATATTTTTTATTCATGTTTTGTTTTAATTAGAAGGTTAAACTGATAATTTCATAAAGTTTTAGTTGATAATGGATGTTTTATTAATTAGTAGAGATTCTAACCTAATCTTATAAATCACACATGAAAAATAAAATATTATAGTGAATAATAATTGATAATGTTTGGAGAGTGAATTAATCATTGTTAAGGCAGTTCACTATTCATTCAAACAGTAACTTCTCCGACTAAGGGGTCTACTATTGTTGGTTGGGACGCGTTATATTTGTTGCTAAAGCATTTGTCTTATGTGATGTGCTGAAATTTGCAAAAATCAAAAGTTTTAGAGATGTATGTATGTTGGTGAATTTTCTTAGGACGTCAGGCTACTAGCATTGGGTATCAGATTACTTGCACGATCATTTTCTTTTATATCTTGGACTCGTATTATTTGGGAGGCAAATTTTCTTGCTAATGTCATTACTAGCATTGGACACTACATTCATGATACTTTTATTTGGGATATGTCTTTACCAACTATTGCTAAAAATGTCTTTTTCTTCAATTGTATTAAAAATGGTTGAACTTGAAATTTCTTTTTGAATAAATTTATTTTTTCCCAAAAATAAAAAAAAAAACTCCTCTAACCGGGAGGCACACCCAAAAAAGTAGATGGAAATGCTTTTGATATCACCCATAAGAAAAGTCATACCTTCCCCCTTTTTATTAAAATATATATATATATATATATATATATATATATTTCCGTTAATTTTCTTATTATTTGGTATAATAAGTTAATGGCACTAACAACGCTTCTAGTGATTCAGTGATAAGGGTGCGAACTGTGACTATCTTATAAATAAAAAATGTGAGAGGTTTCGGGTTCAAGGCTCCAAAATGGTGAGTGGCTGCAGACAGAGTTTAATTTCCCATAGCCTTTTCGCACCTAAAAAAGATGGATAACCGTGATTTGTCACTAGTTGTTCCTTTGTTTAAAGAGAAAAATAAAAAAATAAAAAAGCTACTAGTGTAGTACAATACTAAGACCTAAATCTAACTGACGTTCAAGACACAATCAACCACAGGTCAACACAAGATTGGTCAAATTAATAGAAGGTAGGAATCCTACCTACCAGTACTACATTCTATCAAATTCCAATCAGATAAGAGATCCCTTCCGGATTTCTTCCATCAAGACCACCGAATCAAGTGAACTGGATTTTTGAAATTTTATCCAACGGCTCACCTGTTTTGACCTCTTAATAGCTATAATAATTTTTGCCCATTAAATGAAATTTCAAAGGTCCCGATCACTTGATCCGGTGACCTTGGTGGAAGCGATCTGGAGAGGATCTCTTCTCTTCCAATCAGAGTTTACGATGCCAGTGTGCCTCCTCTAATCTAAATTCGATTCCATTTTTCTTGAACAATACTAATTTAGAATACTCTCTTGCAAGGTTCTAAAAGACGCTAAGCGTTAATCGGGTGGCGAACTAGGGACTAGCGCCTAGACGGATTTAAGTAAATCTATTATATTTCGTGTAAATAAGTGTTTGTTTATACTTAAAATATATATAATTTCATTATAAACTACAAAATAGAATAACATATATATTAGGAAGTATTGGAACATAATGAAAACATGGGAAACATGCATATAATGTGTATTCATTTAAGTATTCAACAAGTCCCTTACAATTTATTGACAAAAATAAAATACAAAATAAAAGTTATCTATTTTCTGTCTAAGTGAGTCACAACCTAGGCGGGTCTAGGTAGGCGCCTCAGTAGGTCTAGGCAACGTTTCTTAATTTTCAAACACATAGACATTAATCGGGACGGTGGCCAACCGCCTAGCGCCTAAGCGGCTAGGCAGAGATTTTTAGAATAGTGCTCTCTTGTAAAAAAAGTTTAATTAATTTTAAAATAATTTTTTGTCTTACATGCAATTTTTTTTTTTTTTGTTAAAAAAAGGGGCTAATATTCTGACAAAATAGAAATTACAAAATAATATCACGAGATTGAGAGACTTTAGAAAAATCAGACAATAATATATGCTTACAAAAAGATGGAGCTTGTCAATCAGGAATGAAATTCATCTCAAGTTAGATAAGCCGAATATTACATTCTCAGTCACACAGTAACATTGCACAACAAGCTTGAATTGATGCATGTATAAGATGACTGTTAGTTGCACCATGTGATATCAACTTGGGATACTAGGTTTTAAAATAGATTCTAAACGAGACTAAAAAGAGAGAATAGTTTGAGCTCGAAACACATTAGATTAACAAAAAAAAATCATGTATGAAATGGCACAGTGGCAATTTGGCATGTTATTTGTTCTTTTTTTAGTAAACTAGTATTTTCTACAAGATAAGTAGCTTTCATCGCTATTTTTTTCTTTTAAATATAAGCAATGTTTCTACTCTAAACAATACTAAGGCCTCGTTTGGTATGTCAAACTGTACTTGTTAGAGCAAATTTTCGTCGTGGTTTAATTGACGAAAACCTATACATCAAAGACAAAAGACAACAGAGTTAGACTAAGGCCTGGTTTGGTACTTGATAAGCTCATATTTATATATATTTTATATCAAATTCACTTGTCTTTTCTTAGTTAGTTCCTTATATTTTTGAGTTATTTACTTTGTTTTTGTGTTTTGTAGGATTTGTCAAGTAAAGAAAAGAAAAATAACACAAGTGGAATGTTAAGTAATAAATTCGTCAAAACTGCCTGTGCAGGTTAGCTGACTTTGGAAGCAAGTTGCGGACAGCTCAGAATGAATTAGAGAATGAGCCTTATATGCTTGGAAAGCTACGGATGTCTATTTTCTGGAGCATTTTACAGATTGTTAATATCATTTTTCTAGAAAAAGTTATGGCCGTTCAAACACTGAAAGGTTCCCAGGATGCGGAGCAGTTTGTAACTGACAAAGAAGCATTGAAAGCAATAAATCCCATAAAACTAACAGCCAAAACTGATGCAGCCAAGAACAAGCCAACTAACACCTATTCAAATATCAGAGGAAATGAAAAATTAAGTGAGAGTAATGGGCATAAAGGCTGCCCAAAGAGTTACAATTGTTTTGGCATTTCCTCCCACTTATTGTCATCACTAAATGGCTGTTAGTGGGGTGAGTTATGGAGAAAAAACTGTGGTAGCAGAAAAGAGGAAAATACCTACAGGTTGCAGCAACAAAGGGGGAGAAAAAGTGTGAAAAAAAAAGGGAGAAAAAAAAGAAGCAAAGCAAGGGAAAAAGGAAGGCTGCTGCGTTGGGGAAGGAAGGAAAGGAAGGAGGAAATCTTGGCATTCTCTTCTCTCGGTTTTATCTTCTCAAACTCATGTCTTTCTTTTGGTTTAATTTGAGAATTATGTGTAACTAATTTTTAGTAGTTAGGGGCTGTTTTGAAGCCCCTAATATGATTGCAAGTTTGTTATGACATTTCGTTTGAATTACTTTTACGAATGGATGAAAATTGGTTCACTACTTGTCTCATTGATGAATTCTTTATGTGTTTTCTATGGATTCATACTTAGTAAGCATATCTAGGATTCTAATGCTATGAATATGTGTGTGCCTGCCCTTGTCGAATGAGGACCTACATATGTTCTAGAGTAGTACTTGTTAATTGCGATTAACATGTGAATCAATTTCTAGGATAAGTAAGACAACGCTAGTACTTACGATGCCTTGTGATGACTCAAACTCTTTTCGTTCTTAATGATTTCTACTTGTTAAATCTATGAACACCACATTCTAGATTGCATGTTAGGGACTAAGTTAAGTTGAAAACGCCATTCTCTTAACATACTACATAAGAAAGAGTAATGGGTTGAGTTCTAACATTGAGCCAACTTGAGCATCTTCATCCAAAAATGAAAGGAATTTGAATGAAACATAACATGTTTGCATGATTATTTGGTGGTGGATAGCAATTCCCCTAACTCGTTTTTCTTAATTTGTGAACTACTCAAAAATCTGTCTCTGTTCTGTTTTTGTTCGATTTAATTTAAATAGCAAATCAACTCCAAAAATCCCAAAAATTTGTGTGAGTGTAGCTCTGTGTGTCTAGTATCTGCATATAAAATTTCGTAGACTTTAGATAAGTGTAAGTCAGTCTAATAATTATTTTTCGGTGGCTGGTCAGTAGGGACAGCAACCCAGTTT